AAATTCTTGAAAAACCTTATAACCGTGGTTTTGAACTCTATATCCAGTCATTTGCTTTCCTCCATTTCTGTCATTTGTGACCTGTTTCTTTGTCTCCGCATTTGTTATGCTTCCCTGTGTTGGTAGAGTGGCTTTGTGTGCTAGGTGTCCTATAGGGCCCAGTGGCTCAGCCTCCCCAATTACCTGAGGTGGACACACTTGGTGCACCCCTTTGTGGGCTTTGTGCACAGTCTTGTTGTAGTTAAGCCTTGATTGTTGTAGGTATCACTGGGAGGAATTGACCTCCAGGCCAATTTGACTGTGAGAATCAGCTGTGTCTTCAGTGGGAGACTTCTGTGCTGAAGACACCCTTCTGGGGCAAGACTTGCTTCAGTGGGGCTTTGGTGCTCACTGAGTCTGCCCCCTGAGTGTGTCCCTTTTGGGTCAGAGGAGTTGTAATTGGATGGTCCCACTCTGACCACTGGGTACACTGGCTCTTGGATCTCTAAGGAGGTGCTAATTTAGCCTCTTCCTGAGGGTACCCAACAGGAGCTACAAAGAGATCTGCAGATTCCCCTTCCTTTTGGGGGGTTTGGAGGTGCCCAGAATAGGCCCAGTTGAGAAGCAATGCAAGCTGCTGTGGGGCCTTGGGCCTTCTCTTGGAAGTTCTGGGTCTGTCTGGACCAGCTGCAATTTGTTAGGTAATTTTCAGATTGCAAAGGGCCAGGGCATTCATATGCAAAAGCCTCTGCCCCAGCCTGGGTGGGGCGGGGTCTCAGGGAATCAACAGGGTGGAGCAAACAGCTATGGCTGATCCTCAGCCCTGCCCAAAGTGGCCCCCCGTCTCAGCGTCCCGGCAATTGCTGCAAGCACCTCTGAGGGAAAGCTGCCCTCAAGTTCCGAGTTCTGACCGCTTCCAGACAGTACAGTTTCTCCCTGTATGAGTCCTGGGTCCCCAGAGACTTCCTGGAACCGGAGTTCAGAGCATCAGGAGCTTGTGACTCCCTCCCGATTCAGAAAGCCAGCTGTGTCCTCAGGTGCCAGCCCCTTTGCACGCACTCGAGCCTCCGTACCTCTGCACTTTACTTCTGCAGCTCCTCTGAGTCTCAGTGTGCTTTTCTCTTTCCTTCCAGTTGTAGAATTTCCACTCAGCCAGCCTTCCTGTAGTTCTGGATGATGTCGTTTTGTCTTTTCATTGTATTTTTGAAGTTGTTGTGGGAGGCAGCAATTTCCGGTGTTTACCTATGCCGCCATCTTGGTTTCTAGACTTTACTGGGTTTTATGGTGGCTTTCTGATTTTGGTAGTTCATTGAAGAAGGGAGTTTGAAAGTTGTTGTATACTTTTAAAGATTGCCTGCCCATATCCTGCCTGAAATACCATGATTGTTTATGAAAAGTATCTTTAATAAAGCTGGATACAGTTTGAAAAAAAAGTAGTATAAGAAATATGATCTATGACATTTATTTTTACTGTGCGATATAAGGTTTCCCTGTGAAATATAAAGCTATTGATGGAGCAACAAAAACATATACTTCAATTTTGGTTTATGTTATATTTTAAAATGCACTGTAGCTAGAAGATGGGAATATTGGTATCTAATCTTAGCTCTATCACATTCACCTAGTGACTTCAGACATCTCTGCTTTGTTTCCTATTCCTAATAGAAACAAGCTTCTTACAAGAATGTCATTAAAAAGCTCTAAAGGAAGGCCCCAGCGGGAAACACAAAGGCCCTGATCGGCTCTGATCACTGGCCAGGCCTAAGGACCCTACCGGTGCACATATGTCATGCACCGGGCCTCCAGTACAATAAAAGTAATGGACTTCTAGTCAAGATGGTGGCATAGGTAAATGTGGTACCCAATCCTCCCATAAACACATCAAATTACAACTGAACTAAAATTACAGAACAACCATCATTCTGAAATCTAGCTGACTGGAAGTCCTATAACTAAGGAATTTAAGAAGAAGCCTCATGGAGACGGGTAGGAGGGGCGGAGACACAGAACACATGTGTGGTGGATAAAAATCAGGAGGGATATCTTGGTTGTGAAGCCCCACCTTGAGGAGTGAAGGAGTCATAGCACCAAATCATGCCTCCCAAAACAGAGTTCCAGTACCAGGGAGAGAAGTCCCCATAACTTCTGGCTGTAAAAACTTGTGGGGATTGTGGCTGCATGAGACCATCTGGGCACAGGTCACATTTTAACTGCATATGTGGCTATGGTATTGTACAGCACAGAACACAGAACATTTCCATCATCACAGACAGTTGTATTGGACAGTATTGACCTAAGTAGGTCAGGGCTGTGTATTTTACACTCCTGATGTATCTTGTGCTTTTCTTATAGAGCACTTATCAAAGTTAATAATGAATTAATGCCTGTCTTCCATACTAAATTATTGGCCCCATGAAGATAGGAACCGTGTCTATTTTGCTTGCTGGTGTATGTCCAGTGCCTAATACAGTACATGGCAAGTAATGGACCCTAAATAGACATGTGTCAAAGGACAAATAAATGAAGTTATATTCTAAAACATACAAAAACTCTAGTCCATGGAATTTGGGGTTCAGACTAGAAATATGATCAGTAGGTTTTTGCATAGGCAAATGCTTTTGCATTCAAGTTTCAGATCACTTTCTCCCATTCTGACTATTTCATTATCTTTCCTGAAATGAAGAGGACAGAAGTATCTAGCTACTAAGATTTGGGGACCTGGTACTTTGATAATATTACTAAAAGGATGATGTTCAACATATAATCATTTCACAATATATGTAAATCAAACCATCCTGTTGTACACCTTTAACTTATATAGTGATGTATGTCCATTATTTTTCAATAAAACTGGAAATAAAACCATTTTCTGTTGTTCTTCCTAGTCATGATCCATTTGACATGTTGGTATTACCTATAACCAAAAAGATTTTTTTATAACAAATAAAAAATTCTTTACTTCACGTTTTTAGAATCATGAACATTAATTTTTTATTTTGCATTGTAAGATGAGAGAGAGGTTAAAGAGTGCAATTTTATTCTTTTATAAATTATGCAATAGCATACTTTAAAAAGAATAAGCAGCCCTCCTGGCACAGAAAGAGAATAATTAAAAGACTCTTGAATAAAAATAAAATCAAAATAATCAATTAAATGATAGCTATCATGGCTAGCAATGGATTACATGTAAAGTTTGATAATAGTAGAAATATTGGTGCTTGGTAATCATAATAGAGGGTGGAAACATTAACAGCATGTAATAGTGTTGCCCTCGGCGGACTGGAGCAGTGCTCTGATACATGTGTTTTCACTGGGATTTAACCTTAGTTAATACGTCCACATCAGCTTTGTCTGCTTCTGCAAGTCGTTTTTCATGGCTCTCAAACAGGACATTGTCTTCCTTTCTTAGAGACCTCCTGGAAACATCCCTGGGAACCATAGCACCTGCCATGTTAACTTTCGCCAACAAATTCCGTAGCCACTCCCGCCTTGCCTTGTTGTTCAGATGTTGACGCCAGTTATGCATAAGCTGTATTTCACCCACAGTTTTCTTCCTGTAGGGAACAGAAACAGAGAAGCCACTCCATTAGCTCTCCACTTCCCATCATAATGGCAGCCCCAAAAATCCAATCCCCAAGTCCTAGCCCTGCAAAACGAGAAATGGTACTTACTGCAGGGTTTTCCCATCTGATTTTGCGAAAAAACAAATTGCAAACAGGACGATCATTACTTTAACCATTTCTTTTGCATACATCATCTTCAATAAAAAGAAAAAGCAAAAGGCAGGCATTTAAATATATTTTTACTATTCCACACTATATAATTAACTTTAGCAGTTTCCATTTATAACTACAGAACTGTACACATAGTGGTACAGCAACTAATTGCATTTGTTTTCATGGAGGACTTTTGGAATCGGGCTTTTTCTGTTTTGTTTTTAAATATATATTTATGGATTTCAGAAAGAAAGGGAGTGGAAGAGAGAGATAGAGACATCAATGATTAGAGAGAATCATTGATAGGTTGCCTCCTGCATGCCTTCTACTGGGTGTTAAGCCTGCAACCCAGGCATGTGTCTTTAACTGCATTCAAACCTAGGACCCTTCGGTCTGCCGGCCGACATCTATCCACCGAGCCGAACAGGTAGGGCCAACCTTTTTATTTTACAGATGCATTAGTGTGTATTATATGTACACATAATTTGACTTAGAAATTAGATTAGTTTTAGTTTCTAGGAAAATTAGTTTTACTTTTTAGGGATCTTTTTGAGAGTTCTTATGCAAGTTTAATATATGAATTTTAAGCCACATGAGGAATAAAAATGCTTACTTTTTAGAATTTTCTCCTACATTTATGCTGCTTATGACTAAGTTCTTATCATTTGTTTGGAAAATGGATAATTCTCTTACTTAGGTAAATTATTAGCACTGTTTATTTACTTAGAAAATTTCTTTTTCATAAGTCAACGTATTTCAGGCACTGCAATAATAACCATAAGTACCAAATTAATAGTCTCTGCTTTAGAGATAATTTTACTAAATTAATGCATACTTTTACCATTTAAAAATGTGTCAAAGTATTATTAAAAATCATCTAGTTAATTATAAGAATTTAGAGCTTTGGCTTCATATAAAATGCTTGTTTGTTTTTCTTCAGCTTCTTTTAAAACTATCCAGTCTGAGTATAATTGTTAGCACTTTCCTCTTTCGTTCATGAAGCTTTTCATCTCAAAATAGACTAGTCTAATCTTAATCTGCACTTCAGTAATTGCAAAGCCTATTGTTATAGGAAGTGCTTTTTCTTAATGCTTAATGTTCTCTGTTTTAACATACACATACAGTCACAATGCACTCATATTTTAAAGGGAAATGGCTTGATTTATTTTTGAAGTGGTGGCATCATATTGAAGTAGTATAGGAAATAGAGCTATATGAGGAGGTGCGATCAAACCAGGACCCAGCAAAGCCCGCAGGGAGCTTCACCCTTGTGTCCTGGTCGGACCTCCCTCCACCATCGCCATCATGCCCAAGAGGAAGGCTGAAGGGGATGCTAAAGGAGATAAAGTCAAGGTGAAGGAGAAACCAGGGAGAAGATCCGTCAGGTTATCAGCTAAACCTGCTCCTCCAAAACCAGAGCCCAAGCCTAAAAAGGCCCCTGCAAAGAAGGGAGAGAAGGTACGAAAAGGGAAAAGGGAGAGCTGATGCTGGCAAAGATGGGAATAGCCCTGCAGAAAATGGAGATGCCAAGCAGACCAGGCACAGAAAGCTGAAGGAGCTGGAGGTGCCAACTGAAGTGTGTGCATTTTTGATAGCTGTGTATTTCTGGTGACTGTACAGTTAGAAATACTATTTTTTATCAAGTTTTATAAAAGTGCAGAATTTTGTTTTACTTTTTTTTTAAGCTATGTTGTTAGCACAGAGAACACTTCATTGTTATTTTGGGGGAAGGACATATAGTGCTACTAAAATGTCTCCAAAGCTGCACTGCCATGAAAGGAGATACCTTTCCCTTCTAGTTTTGAGAAACTTCCTCTTGGTTCCTGGGAGCAGGGATCTCTTGATGTTGGCACACATTAGCCATCTTGGCACAAACACCTTGTTATGTGGGAAACTAAACTTTGTTTTTCTGTCCTTTTCTTCCTCTCCAATTTAAGCATAGACTTTGGCTCTCTTAAGCCCAGAGACCTATTGGGACCTGTCCCCCCAAAAAAGTTGATTTCCAGTCGCTTAGGCAATCTGAGCTTTCCAGTGTCACCACTGAGATGGCCTCCCTCTAAAGAGCAGCAGTTCCTTTTTAGATTGTGGATCTACTGATATGCTCTGCCATTTTATTTCATTTCCTGAAAGTCAGGGTCGGCTTGTGAAAAGTTGTTACACAACGTGCTCAATGCGAAATGTCAACCCTCACTCTAAACTTTCCCTATTCACAGCATCAGATGAAGACTTCACTGGGTTTTATGGTGGCTTTCTGATTTTGGTAGCTCATTGAAGAAGGGAGTTTGAAAGGTGTTGTATACTGTTAACGATTGTCTGTCCATATCCTGCCTGAAATACCATGATTGTTTATGAAAAGTATCTTTAATAAAGCTGGATTCAGTTTGAAAAAAAAAAGTTGTTGTAAGAAATATAATCTACTACATTTATTTTCACTGGGCGATATAAAGCTTCCCTGTGCAATATAAAGCTATTGATGGAGCAATAAATACATATACTTCAATTTTTGTTTATGTTATTTTTAAAAAGGCACTGTAGCTAGAAGTCAGGAGAATTGGTGTCTAATCTTAGCTCTATCACATTCACCTAGTGACTTCAGACATCTCTGCTTTGTTTCCTATTCCTAATAGAGACAAGCTTCTTTCAAGAATATCATGAAAAAGCTCAAAAATCAGCTTTTTGCAATTCATGTACTGTTTTTAGAATAGAAAGTGAAAAAAAATCTTTATTAAAGGGAATAAATATTCAGCAGTAAAACTGTTTCTCCAGCTCTTGTATACAATTTGAGTTCTCTGTGAGTCATAAAACAAACAGTTTGATGAGGATATTCTGTAGGAAAAATAGACTACTAACACAATTTAATAAATGTATATTTGTTATTTAAATCAGAATGATTTATTCCTCATTAGTCTGCTTTATTTGAAAATTTCAGTAAGATACCATTAAAGCATATGATGCCAAATTATAATTTTTTGTGTGTAATTTCAGATACATTTAGAAAAAGCAAGGCCCCTCAAAAGACTTTCATCACAAAAATAAATGATTTCAGAGTATTTTAGAAACATAAATTTATTTTGTGTTGTGGAATTTTATATTAAGCACTAGTGATCCCGTGCAGGAAATTTGTGCACATTTAAAGGGAATTAATTAGAGGAAATATTTTAATATTGCTATTTTTTCTTTCAGTCGTGACATTGTGGTGTCCCTGCTAATTTCCATATTCCTCTATTAGATAGACAGAACTTTCCTTTCACATTGTAACTTGAACAAACAGCATTTTATCTGTAGAAAATGGTGCACATCAAATAATAACTAGATTATAACAAATAGTTTATATGAGATTTAAAAGATAAAGTAAAGATTACTCACCACACAATGTCTTAGGACAATATCTTTCAGGGATATTAGCAGCTGGTGCTCTCTTAAAGTTGAGTAAACTTGAGAAAGCTGATGAATTGGATTGTAGATGCTTCAGTGTGACTTATATGTAGGTCTTCCTCTCAGCAAAAGAAGCTTTTATGTTGTTACAGATGATATCACTCCCAATTCTCTGGATCACAAGTATAGGACCAGAACAACAGACAACTCGATTGGATGATGCCCATTCTTCTTAAGATCTAGATCATTAGATATTAACAGTAACACACTATGGGGCTGGGAAAACGAATTATGCAAAGATTTCTAACAAATATTAAATTGCAATTCTTAATTCTGACTGGGTTAATGAATTTGTATTATTAAAAAGGACTGATTTCTTTTTTTTTTTTTTTATTTTTTTATTTTTTATTGCTTAAAGTATTACAAAGGGTATTACATATGTGTCCATTTTATCCCCCCGCCCTAGACAGTCCCCTAGCCTCCCCTATCCCCCAATGTCTTATGTCCACTGGTTATGCTTCTATGCATGCATACAAGTCCTTTAGTTGATCTCTTACCCCCCTACCTCCTGCCCTGCAACCCTCCCCGGCCTTCCTGCTGCAGTTTGACAATCTGTTTGAGGCAGCTCTGCCTCTGTATCTATTATTGTTCAAAAGTTTATAATGGTCTCTATTATCCATGAATGAGTGAGATCATGTGGTATTTTTCCTTCATTGACTGGCTTATTTCACTTAGCATAATGCTCTCCAGTTCCATCCATGACGTTGCAAATGGTAAGAGTTCCTTCCTTTTTAGAGCAGCATAGTATTCCATCGTGTAGATGTACCACAGTTTTCTAATCCATTCATCTACTGATGGGCACTTAGGCTGTTTCCAGATCTTAGCTATGGTGAATTGTGCTGCTATGAACATAGGGGTGCATATATCCTTTCTGATTGGTGTTTCTGGTTTCTTGGGATATATTCCTAGAAGTGGGATCACAGGGTCAAATGGGAGTTCCATTTTCAGTTTTTTAAGGAAACTCCATACTGTCTTCCATAGTGGCTGCACCAGTCTGCATTCCCACCAGCAGTGCACAAGTGTTCCTTTTTCTCCACATCCTCTCCAGCACTTGTCGTTTGTTGATTTGTTGATGATAGCCAGTCTGACAGGTGTGAGATGGTACCTCATTGTTGTTTTGATTTGCATCTCTCGGATGATTAGTGACTTTGAGCATGTTTTCATATGTCTCTTGGATTTCTGAATGTTCTCTTTTGAAAGGTGTCTATTTAGGTCCTTTGCCCATTTTTTGATTGGATTGTTTATCTTCCTTTTGTTAAGTTGTATGAGTTCCCTATAAATTTTGGAGATTAGGCCCTTATCGGATATGACATTGGCAAATATGTTTTCCCACACAGTGGGTTTTCTCGTTGTTTTGTTGATGGTTTCTTTTGCTGTGCAGAAGCTTTTTATTTTGATGTAGTCCCATTTGTTCATTTTCTCTTTAGTTTCAAGTGCCCTAGGAGCTGTATCAGTGAAGAAATTGCTTCGGCATATGTCTGAGATTTTGTTGCCTTTGGATTCTTCTAGAATTTTTATAGTTTCCTGTCGTACATTTAAGTCCTTTATCCATTTTGAGTTTATTTTTGTGTATGGTGTAAGTTGGTGGTCTAGTTTCATTTTCTTGCATATATCTGTCCAATTTTCCCAGCACCATTTATTGAAGAGACTATCTTGGCTCCATTGTATGTTCTTGCCTCCTTTGTCAAATATTAATTGGGCATATTGGTTCGGGCCGATTTCTGGGCTCTCTATTCTATTCCATTGATCTATATGCCTATTCTTGTGCCAGTACCAGGCAGTTTTGAGAACAGTGGCTTTGTAATACATCTTGATATCTGGTATTGAGATCCCACCTACTTTGGTCTTTTTCAGGATTGCTGCAGCTATTCGAGGTCTTTTTTTATTCCAGATGAATTTTTGGAGAGTTCGTTCTAGATCTCTGAAGTATGCCGTTGGTATTTTAATGGGAAGTGCGTTGAATTTATAGATTGCTTTGGGTAGTATGGACATTTTAATGATGTTGATTCTACCAATCCATGAACACGGTATGTTCTTCCATCTGTTTATGTCTTCCTCTATATCTTTTTTCAACGTCCTGTAGTTTTCTGAGTAGAGGTCTTTTACCTCTTTAGTTAAGTTTATTCCTAGGTAGCTTAATTTTTTTGGTGCGATGGTAAACGGGATTGTTTTTATAATCTCTCTTTCTGAAAGTTCACTATTGGTGTATAGAAATGCCTCGGATTTCTTGGGGTTAATTTTGTATCCTGCTACATTGCCAAATTCATGTATTAAGTCCAGTAGCTTTTTGATGGAGTCTCTAGGGTTTTGTATGTATAATATCATGTCGTCTGCAAATAAGGACAGTTTTACTTCCTCTTTTCCAATTTGGATGCCTTTTATTTCTTCTTCTTGCCGAATTGCAATGGCTAACACTTCCAGTACTATGTTGAACAGGAGTGGTGAGAGGGGGCATCCCTGTCTTGTCCCTGTTCTTAGGGGAAATGGTGTTAGTTTTTGTCCATTGAGTATGATGTTGGCTGTGGGCCTGTCATATATGGCTTTTATTATGTTGAGGTATGATCCTTCTACTCCCACCTTGCTGAGAGCTTTTATCAAAAATGGGTGTTGAATTTTGTCAAATGCTTTTTCTGCATCAATTGATATGACCATGTGGTTTTTTTCTTTCAATTTGTTTATGTGATGTATCACGTTTATTGATTTGCGGATATTGTACCATCCTTGCATCCCTGGGATAAATCCTACTTGGTCATGGTGTATGATCTTTCTGATGTACTGCTGGATCCGATTTGCTAAGATTTTGTTGAGGATTTTGGCATCTATGTTCATGAGGGATATTGGCCTGTAATTCTCTTTCATTGTGTTGTCTTTACCTGGTTTTGGTATTAGGGTGATGCTGGCTTCATAGAATGAGCTTGGAAGTGTTCCTTCCTCTTGAATTTTTTGTAGTAGTCTGAGGAGGATAGGTTTTAGTTCTTCCTTGAATGTTTGGTAAAACTCCCCTGTGAAGCCGTCTGGTCCTGGGCTTTTGTTTGCTGGAAGCTTTTTGA